CTCGTCTCTATCCAACTCATTTATGTTACCGAAAGCACCTGAATAAAAGCCTCCTCTCAAATAAAAGGAGATTTTCTAAATTACCGATATTAACCGGTTGAAGTTTACAAATACCAAGCTGAAGGTTTAGATTCGACTAAATATTTGCTCGTTTTATGTTTCCAATTTTAGAATTGAGCAGATGTTATCCGTTACTTGATTTTTGTATGATACTCAACCTCGTATGGCTACACTTTGGCACATTAGTCAATCCAGGATGAAGGTGACGAGCTGCAACCTTGCGGGGGCGCTAGCGCTGCTGTTCGTGCCGTTGCTAGCCGGTGAGGCATCCGCAAATACCATCCATGTGAAGGTGTACAGTTCGCACTTGCGCCGCCGCAGCGAGAGGCCGCAGAAGGCTCTTGAGACGGCTGAGACTGCTGAGACCATGTAGGACGAGGCTCTTCATCTCGCGTACTGGATGGGGTATTGACAATGGTTGGTGCCGCAGTGACTGGACAGGTCAAGGGTTGACATCCTGGAGTGAAGTGGAAGGCAACTTAACGTCGGAGGTCGAGACACTGTGAGTGGAGACGCCTGACGAGCACCCATAGTGGGAAGAGGCTGACCAATGAATTGGATACTGTACAGGAACGTATCGTCCAATGCGCTAGGAACAGTCAGCTTTACACAGACGTTCAAGGAGCTACAGACGCTGTACGGAGGACGACTCATATGGACGTAGCGAAGGCAGTGGCTGATGTTTTGCTGTTTATGCGCTGCAGGACTTGCTCGAATGCGTCCTTGACCCAGCTGAATGTGGATATGACGTACCTAGAGACGCTCATTGCGTCGGCCAATCGGCTGGCATCCTTTGAGAATATTTCGTTGGCGACGACAATTGTGGAGCTGTATGTTGATACTGGGTAGGAGATGTTTTGTGGATAAGTACTGACTATTGTGACTGTGGATAGTGACTTGTCGGCGAACCAATTGTCGGACTGGGAGAATTTCGAGTTGCCGCGTGACTTGCAAATATTGTACGTACATTAATAGAGAGGAAGTCGTAAGGTACTGATTTGTGAGTTTGTGGTTTGTGGTTGGTAGAAACCTCAGTCACAATGTAATCGGGGACATCACCGGCTCCAATTTGTCAGCAACGGACTTGGTGTCGATGTAAGAAATTTGTTGATGCAGATGTCTTAGCAAGTGTGTGTGATGCTCACTTCGATATCGTGTTTTCTGTGGTAGCGACTTGTCATCAAACAATCTGACCTCCGTGGTCGGCGTGATCTTCCCAAGCAACCTTACCACACTGTACGCATCCTTTTGGTAAAGTTTCTGCGCTTGTCACTAGTGTCTTACGTCTCTGTTGCAGGGATTTAAGCAATAACAGCATTGAAACCTTCGAAATCCGTGAGGCCGATCTAGCTGTGTTATCCAACCTCACCTCGCTCAAGATGGACGATCTCGAGCAATCGGATTGTCCAAGTAGCGGTGCGACTACCGAAACAATTGGCAACGTGCAAGTCTGTGTTGTCTCCGGTACGTACGCAAAATAGAGAGCTTGTCCGCTTAGTGCACATGAACTAATTTGCTCGTGTTCTTCTGCAGACTCCACGTTCCAGAATGCTTACTTCCGCAGCGAAAGTGGTAGGTATTTGTCATCTACCAGGCTTGCTTTACTAAATAGTTTGGACTTATCTTGCTATGGTGTTGCGGCATAAAGCGTGGAAGATAGACAAGGGCGTGGAATACCTGAGTGCGATCTTGAGTGTCTTGATAAGCCTCTGGTTTGTGATACTCCTGGTGGGTCATTCAATCAAGAGGCATCGGAACGCGGCTAAAACGGACGAGCAGCTACGTGACACGGTGGAAATCTCGTCTCTCACGGCGTCACGACACTGGTCCCTGTCGAAGGAGGAAGAGATACCCAACGACGTGCGCTTTGACCCCGAGTTCACGTCGTTCCGTATTGATCCGTCAGATGTGATGCAAGTTCGTACGTTGGCGCACGGCAACTTTGCCATGACATCACTCGTGTATCTCGGGGATAAACAAGCTGTCATGAAGAAGGTTTCGGTTCATTCACAGGGCCAGAATCGCGATCAGATGGCTGCGTTCATGGACGAAATACGCGTATGCGCCAAGCTAGAGCACCCAAAGGTGGTGGGCTTCCTCGGTATTATGTGGGCTAGTCTGTCGGATCTCTCGGCTATTGTGGAATACGCTCAACACGGGAGTCTTGCGGTATTTCTGAAAGAGAAAAAAACCAGTCGGAAGGTTTCGTTCACTTGGATGGAGTCGTCCAGCGAATCCCCGAGTAAACTTTCAATTGCATTGCAAGTGTCCGAGGCGCTCGTGTATCTGCAAAGCTTTGCACCTCCAATCATACACGGCCACTTGAAAGCAGATAGTCTGCTGCTGGGATCGGCGTGGGAAGTCAAGCTGAATCGACTCGGCTACAGATTGGACACATCTTCGTTATCGATCGAGGATCGGGCATGGACAGCTCCGGAAGTTTTGACGAGTGGCGAGTTTGATGAGAAGTCGGACGTTTACTCGTTTGGAGTGGTCATGTCCGAGTTGGATCGCTGCAAACTGCCGTTTTCTCGAAAGGAGTCGCGACGTCATAGCGTTGATGGATCATCACTTAAGCCAAAGTTCCGAGAAGACTGCCCGCCGGAG